GAATTCCCCAGCCAGCGAATGCTGGCTGGAGAATTCTGGGAGTTGAAGTCCGGACATCTTCAAGTTGCCAAGGTTGAGAAACACTGTTCTAAGTTGTCTAACCCCAAAATTTCAGGCCTGGTGGCATAAGGGATTCTGTTGCGAGTAGAGGAGTGGAGGACTCTTCTCATGAAATATCTCTGGACTCTTTCGACTGTATTACTGTCCGATATGCAGTGCGGGTTCCAGACAGATGAGCTGTATTCGAGAATTGGTCTAGCAAAGGTTTTGTATGCTCTGGTTAGCAGTACAAGATTCCAGGAGAAGAAGAATGGTTACATATTTTTTAAATTGAAATTAAATAAATAAAACTTTTTAAAAATAAGAATAATAAAGTCCCTGCAGTTTTCTTGACAAGGTTTTTGGGAAGTGGTTTCCCACTGTCTCTTTCCTAGGGCTGAGAGAGAGAAGGACTGACCCATGGTCATCTGGCTGACTTTATGCCCCAGACAGCACTAGAACTCCCCATCTCCCAGTGTCTAGCTTGGTAGACACCAGTTACTTTTAATTTTGGTTTAACTTGCAGCAGCATCAACCGACTGAACTCCAATGTATCTTAGCAGCCCCCCCCCCCCTTGGGTGAAACGATCAAAACTTAACAGAATAACAGAATTGGAAGGGACCTTTGAGGTCTTCTAGTCCAGCCCAGGAAGGAGACCCTGTACTATTTCGGACAAGTGGCTGTCCAGTATCTTTTTAAAAACCTTTAAAAGTGATGGGGGATTAGGATCCAACCCGCACTTTAACCAACCAGTTTGGAAAGAGCCGCCCCCACCCCAAGTCAAGGCCCATCAAACACGGTTAGACTCAACAAGCCAGCGGTTGCTACCAGCTTCAAGGAAGACCCCCTTCATCCTTTTTGAGTCGATACGTTTCCCCGCCCGGGGAACAACCGAGCCAAACCGCTCCTGCCCGGCGGCGCCCCCCACTCCCCGCGCCCGACCGTTAAGCCAACCGACGGTGCGCAACCGGAGCCCACTGGGCGCAAAGCTGGGGTGACGACGAGCCTCCGAGGTCGCCCTCCTGCCTGCTTGCCCGGCGCTCGCTCGGCCGCCCCCTCCGATCCCTCGGCTGGACGGAAAGCGTGGTCGTCTGCCCGCCTCCTTGGCCGGCGCTCGCTCGGAGACCCCCTCCCCACGCACTCACCCTCCTGGGCGCAACCACTCACCGCCCGCCGGAAAGCGAGATCGCCCACCCGCCGGCTTGCTCAGCGACCCCCTATCCACCCCTCCTCCCACTCCGACGTCACCGGCGTCCTGAAAGCCAGCGCTCGCTCAACGACCCCTTACCCACCCACCCAACTAGGACCCTCTCCGATCCCCCGGCTGGGCGCAGCCACTCCTCGGCAGCCGGGAAGCGAGATCGCCCAACTACCGGCTCGCTCAGCAACCCCTTCCCCACTCACCCATCCCTCTTACTGCGACCCCACCCCCCCGGACTGAACTCATCTACTCACCGTCGGACGGAAAATCAGGTCTCTCCCCCACCCCCGCCTGCTTACCCAGCGCCGGCTCAACGACCCCCTTCCCCACCCACCACTGCCTCCCCACTGCCCCTCCCGACTGGGCTCAGACACTCACCGTCGGCCGGAAAGCGAGATCGCCCTCCTGCCGGCTCGCTCAGCGACCCCTTCCACATCCACCCACCCATCCCTCTCTGATACCCCTCCGGATTGGGCTCATCTACTCGCGGTCGTCCGCAAAGTCAGATCTCCCCGCCGCCCGTTTAGCGACCCCCTTCCCACCCTCTGGGCTGGGCTCATCTACTCACCGTCGTCCGCAAAGCCAGGTCTCCCCCCGCCGCCCGCTTAGCGACCCCTTTCCACAGCCAGCCAGCCGGTTCCCCCTACTGCCGGTCGTGGCGGCCGGGCGCAGCAGTAGCAGCCGCCGCCGCCGCCGCCGCCGCCGCCGATCCCTCCCCTTCCTCCTTGCCACGGCAGCGCTCCGCCCGTTCCTCCCGGCTGCTCCCGGCTCCTCCTCCGGCTGGCTGGCTGGCTGCTCCGGGGCTGCCGCCGCTCCTGCCTCCTCTGCCTCTGCCAGGGCTGCTGCTGCTCTCTCGAGGAGGCGGGCGGGCGGGCGAGCGGGGCCCGGGCCGGGCTGTGGCGGTGCGTCGGGGCCGGGGCGAGCGGTGCCCGCCGGGCTCCTCCGGGGGCGGCGGCGGCTGCTTCTGCCTGGGCGGCCTCGGCGGCGGTGCGGGAGGCATGAAGGGGAAGGAGGAGAAGGAGAAGGAGAAGAAGGAGGGCGGCGGAGGCGGAGGCGCAGGGCTGCCCGGCGGAGGGGAGGCGGGCGGCGGCGGCGGCAGCCCGGAGAAGACCCGCAGCGCCCAGGAGTACAAGGAGCAGGGCAACCGGCTCTTCGTCGGCCGCAAGTACCCCGAGGCCGCCGCCTGCTACGGACGGGCCATCGTGAGTCGGCGGAGGAGGGGTGGGCGGTTGGGGAAGGGGCGAGGGGGTCTCTGGGCGCGGGCGGAGCGCGGAGGAGCATGGGGATGGGGGGGGGGATGAAACTCCGGATGAGGAAGGAAGGAGAGAGTGCCTCTGAGCATGGAAAGAGTGCCGCAGGTAGGTCGGCCCCGGGTGGGGTTATATTGCAAGGGAAGCTGCAGACAGGCCGGGTTTTGTTAGGGTAGGAAAGGAGGGGGGCAGTTGCAGAGCGGAAGGGGGCCTCTGAGCATAGGCAGAGGGCGCTGGAGAGGGAGAGTTTGGCCTGTGGTACTAGGAGGGAAGCAAAGGGCACCTGCCCAGTGCCCACCCACCCAGAAAAAGACACCGCCTGTGCAAGTGCCAGGCTTGGTGGGTTTGTGTGTAGGGTGGAGAGAGTGCCTCTGAGCATGGGGAGAGTGCTATAGGTCGGTGGGCCCTGATTGGGGTTGCCGGAGGGAGCAGGAGGAGGAAGAAACTGCAGACCGGCCGTGTTTTTTGTTAGGGTAGGAAAGGAGGGGGGCAGTTGCAGAGCGGAAGGGGACCTCTGAGCATAGGCAGAGGGAGCTGTTGATGGAGAGTTTGGGCTGTGATTTGGGAAGCAAAGAGTAAAGTGAACCCCCCCACTACCCCCACCCAGAGAAAGACAGGCTTCTGAGCAGGGCCAAAGTGCATGGGGTGCCACGCGTGTTGTGTTTGTGGGTTTGTGTGTGGGAAGGAGAGGGTGCCTCTGAGGACAAGCAGAATGCCACTCCTCCTCCTTTTGGAAGTCAGCAACATGCCTGCATTGCCGCTTTCTGTACAGGGAGCCCTTAGAGCAGTGTTTCTCAACCTTGGCCACTTTTAAGTCCTGTGGACTTCAACTCCCAGAATTCCCCAGCCAGATGGCTGGGGAATTCTGGGAGTTGAATTCCACAGGACTTAAAAGTGGCCAAGGTTGAGAAACACTGCCTTAGAGGCTTACTAGTCCATTTAGTGGCTGTTCAAAAGGACAATGTCCCTGAAAAACTGGTGCCTTATGACTGTTTTTCACACTTAATGACCGTCGCGGCATTCCCCGCGGTCAAGTGATCAAAACATTCTGATGTTCTGCAACTGGCTCATAGTTATGACAGCTGCCGTGTCACCTTCTGACAAGCCAAGTCAATAGGGAAGCCGGATTCACTTAAGCAACGGGTTACTAACTTAATCGGCTGCAGCGATTCGCTTAACGACCTTGGCAAGAAAGCTCCTAAAACGGGGCAAAGCCCACTCACCAAACGCCTTTTTAGGAATGGAAATTTTGGTCTCGGTTATGGTCGTAAGTCAAGGACTACCTGTGCGGACAGAACGGCAACGTATAATGAGGTTAGCCTCCCTCTTCCAAGCATAGGAAGAGTGGTCCTCTGAGCACGTGCAGAGTGCAGGCCAACTTTGGCCCCAAGGAGGAGAAATGAGGTGGCAACTGGGAGAGGATGCTGTGAATTAGTCACCTGACGGGCTCCTTGCAACTAAAGGCACCTGAGCACACACAGAGAGCTGGGCAGGTGTGGATTGGGGAAGGCAAGGGAAGGCCTCACCTCGGGAAGACCTATCTTGAACCTCCCTTTTTTGGGGGGACGAGGACAAATGGGCTGGGAGTGGTTGACGCTGATCAAGGTAAGTGAGGGGGTTGGGGTGGGCGGGGGCCTTGAGAAGTTTGTGGGACTGCAGCAGTGTTTTTCAACCGTGGGAACTTGAAGAGGGGTGGACTTCAACTCCCAGAGTTCCCCAGACAGCTTTGCCGGTTGCTATGCTGCCTGGGGAACTCTGGGAGTTGAAGTCCACCCCTCCTCAAGTTCCCACGGTTGAGAAAAACACTGTGTTAGAGTGTCAGAAAGGGTGTGTGAATGGGCTCCAGGCCTCTGGGGACAGGAATAATTGGGCTCTGAGCTGAGCAAAGAGCCGGAAGGAAGGAACTAGCTGTGATCTGCTGTTTATATCCTATTCCCCCCCCCTTTTCCCCCCAAAATTGTGCACCTGGAGAAGTGTGCAACACACAATTTTATGTCCAAACTTGGAAGACATACAGAGTCAGGCTTGTGACAAAGCGAATCGCAAATGCTCACCTAAAAGAGTAAACAGTAACAGAGTTGGAAGGGACCTTGGAGGTCATCTAGTCCGACCCCCTGCTCACGCAGAGGCGACCTGTACTAGGGATTCGAACCGCCGAACTGCCCACCTTTCTGATCGACAAGCTCAGTGACTGAGCCACCTAGTAAGGAGACCTGGTGACTTCATATGTGTGAACAGATATCTGGGGATTAAAGTTTCCCAGAATGGGTTACTGTAGTGTAAGGTAATAAAGGGAGTCCTTGATTTACGACCATAATTTTTATAGCTTAGTAAGTGGGGTTGTTAAGTGAGCCGGGCCTCATTTTGCGACCTTTTTCTCCACGGTCGTTAAGCCAATTCAGCTTCCCCCGTTGACTTTGCTTGTCACAAGCCGGCTGGAAAGCTTGCAAATGTAAATAATCGATGTCAACGCAATCAGCCAGCAAACAAACAAGCAAAACAAGGCAGACCTAATAAATATTAAATGGTGATTATGTGACTCTGGGATGCTGCAACCATCATCATAAACTCCTGCCACAAGCACCCAAATTTTGATCGTGTGACCATTGGGATCTTGTGGCAGGTTGTAAGTGCAAGGATCGATCCTAAGTGTCTCTTTGTTCGGTAAGTTTTGAACAGTTGATAAACAAATGGCAATTCAAGGATAATCTATACACAGACTAGATTAAGTGTCTTGTGTGAATTCAAAACACTGTTGGTGGCCACAAGATCAGGGGACTGGAGGCTAAAACATACAATGAACGGCTGCAGGAACTGGGCCTGGCTAGTCTAGGGAAGAGAAAGACCAGGGGAGACATGATAACAATGTTCCAATATTTGAGGGGCTGCCTCAGAGAGGAGGAGGTCAACCTATTTTCCAAAGCACCCAAAAGCCAGAGAAGGAATAATGGATGGAAACTGATCAAGGAGAGATTCAACCTGGAAATAAGGAGGAACTTTCTGACAGTGAGAGCAATCAACCCATGGAACAGAAATTGCCTTTGGAAGTTGTGGGAGCTTCATCACTGGAAGCTTTCAAGAAGAGACTGGACTGCCATCTGTCAGAAATGGTGCAGGGTCTCCTGCTTGGGCAGGGGGTTGGACTAGATGATCTATAAGGTCCCTTCCAACTCTGTTAATTTGTTGTTGTTTTTAAATTCCTCAACCAGCCATTCATTCCACTGGCTGAGGAATTCTGGGAGTTGAAGGCCACAAGTTTTAAAGTTTGCTAATTTTGGAGACACCCCCCCCCCCTTGGTCGTTTAGCCTGTTATGCGAGAGCCTGCCTGTCACCTGTACAGCAGCCCTGTGAGGTCTGTACACGGGAAGAGGGAAGTGATTCAGTCAAAGTCGAATTAAAAACGGGGATCCAAATACCCCTCCAGGCTCCTGGCTGAGGAGGCTTGTGTGGCGTCAGCCCTGTGACAAATAAGAAAGATGAGGTATCCGGGCAGTGGATGGGATGTGAGTCATTTTCTATGGGGCAAATTATGCGCCTTCCAATGCACCTTCCAAAAGCCATGCGTGCAGGTTCCTCCAGGCAGAATCTTACGGAGGCGAAGTTGGCTACATCCTGCAAAGTGGAGGCACCCTGCCCGCCTCCCGGCACATCTGGGGTGGATGGGAAATTTTGCAGCTGGAGCATCTTCCAGGAAATTCATAGGACCGGGCGAAGTTTAGACCTGGAAGCAGCCCCAGAGCCTCCAGATTTAGGAGCATGCTACCTTATTTCTCGTCTTAATCCGACTCCAAGCTTCCCCAACCCCAAGGTGACGCCAGACTACTTCGCAAGTTAAAGGAAAGGACATGCCAGGTGGCCCTCGCTTAGTGACCATTCGAAGTTATGGAGGCACTGGAAAAAAAGTGACCTACAGCCTTTCTTCAGACTTATGACCATTGCAGCATTCCCCACGGTCAAAATTCAAAACGCTTGGCCACCGACTCATATTTATGACGCGTTGCAGCGTCCCCGGGGTCACGCAATCCGCTCTTGAGACCAGCAAAGTCAACGGGGAAGCCCAATTCACTTAACAACCGTGTGACTTCCTCAACCACGGCAGTGATTCCCTCAACCACGGTGGCAAGGAAGGTCGTAAGGTGAGGCAGGACTCGCTCATCGACAGATGTCTCGCTTAAGGGACCAAACAGAAATTTGGGCCTGCGTTGCCATCGTAAGTCGAGGATCACTTGAACGTGAAACGAAACGTCCGAGAGACAGTGTCCGGCCACATCACAACCTCTTCAGGGGTTGTGAAACTCTAATGGGGATGTGTGCCTTTTATTTCATCTGTTCCCCAAGAACAACTGTGCTCTACAACTTACCTAATGTTGTGTTACGTCTTGGTTTTAAACCCTGGAGGGCTGCCCGGAGTCCTTTTACAGTTGGGCAGGCGGGCTAGAAAGTTAAGACATAAAGAGACTTTAGCAACAACGTGGAAAAAGCTGGCCTGTTAACAGTTAAGGGTTAATTGTGAAAGATGATGTTTTTCTGTGTGTATGTGTGTGTGTTGGATAAACTCTTTGGAGCACTCTGCCTGCTGCTTAAGGAACATCTTCACTAACTAAAGAAATCCAGGGAAAAGAAGAATCAGAATTCTACCAGATATGGGATAAATGGTGTAGGTGGATGGAGGAAAG